CCTGAGTAGCTGGGATTACAGGCACACGCCACCATGCCCAGCTAATTTTTTGTATTTTTAGTAGAGATGGGGTTTCACCATGTTGACCAGGATGGTCTCGATCTCTTGACCTTGTGATCCACCCTCCTTGGCCTCCCAAAGTGCTGGGATTACAGGCTTGAGCCACCGCGCCTGGCCTGCCTCGGTCAATTCTTAATCTTCATTTTATTTGACCTATAGACAGAATTTAATGTAGTTGATCACTCACTTCTCCTTGAAATGTTTTCTTCCCTTGGCTTTCAAAATGTCATACTCTTTTTTTGTTTGTTTTTTTGAGATGGAGTCTCGCTACATCGCCCAGGCTGTAGTGCAGTGGCACAATGTTGGCTCACTGCAACCTCCGCCTCCCAGGTTCAAGTGATTCTCCTGCCTTAGTCTCCAGAGTAACTGGGACTACAGGCATGCCTGGCTAAGTGTGTGTGTGTGTGTGTGTGTGTGTGTGTGTGTGTGTGTTTAGCAGAGATGGGTTTTTATCGTGTTAGCCAGGATGGTCTCGATCTCCTGATCTTGTGATCCACCCACCTTAACCTCCGAAAGTGCTGGGATTATAGGCGTGAGCCACCAGGCCAGACTTTTTTTTTTTCTTTTTGAGACGGAGTCTCATTCTATCACCTAGGCTGGAGTGCAGTGGCCATCTTGGCTTACTGCAACCTCTGCCTTTCAGGTTCAATAGATTCTCCTGCCTCAGCCTCCCGAGTAGTTGAGACTAAGGTGCCCGCCACCATGCCCGGCTAATTTTTTTTTTTTTTTTTTTTTTTGAGATGGAGTCTTGCTCTGTCACCAGGTTGGAGTGTGATGACGTGATCTGAGCTTACTGCAATCTCCGCCACCTGGGTTCAAGCAATTCCCCTGCATCAGCCTTCCGAGTAGCTGGGACTACTGGTGCGCAACACCACGCCCGTCTAATGTTTTTTGTATTTTAATAGAGATGGGATTTCACCATGTTGGCCAGGATAGTCTCCATTTCCCAACCTCGTGATCTGCCTGCCTCGGCCTCCCAAGGTGCTGGGATTACAGGCGTGAGCCACCGTGCCCTGCCTTGAGACTGAGTTTCACTGTTGTTGCCCAGGCTGGAGTGCAATGGCATGATCTTGACTCACTGAAACCTGCCTCGTGGGTTCAAGCAGTTCTCCTGCCTCAGCCTCCCAAGTAGCTGGGATTACAGGCATGTACCACCATGTCCAGCTAGCTTTGTATTTTTAGTAGAGACAGGGTTTCTCCATGTTGGTCAGGCTGGTCTGGAACTCCTGACCTCAAGTGATCTGCCCCACTAGGCCTCCCAAAGTACTGGGATGACAGGTGTGAGCCACCGCGCCTGGCCTCAAGATGGTCACACTTTTAATTTTCCTCCTCTCTCACTGGTCATCTCCTTTCAATTGACTTTGCTTTTCTCTCCGCTGACCTCTTTCTAGAGATTGGAGTGCCCCAGGATGATAATCTTTTAGGATCTTCTCTATCTTCCTGGGTGATCTCATCCAGCCTTATGGCTTTAAATAACCTCCATATGTTTGTTTGTTTGTTTGTTTGTTTGTTTTGAGACAGAGTCTCACTCTGTCGAGACTCCCAGGCTGGAGTGCAGTGGTGCAATCTGGGCTCACTGCAACCTCTGCCTCCTGGGTTCAAGAGATTCTCCTCCTTCAGCCTCGTGAGTGAGTAGCTGGGATTACAGGCACCCACCACCACATCTGGCTAATTTTTGTTTTGTGTTTGTTATTGTTGTTGTTTTTGAGACAGAATTTCACTCTTGTCACCCAGGCTGGAATGCAATGGCACAATCTTGGCTCACTGCAGCCTCTGCCTCCTAGGTTTAAGCGATTCTCCTCCCTCAGCCTCCTGAGTAGCTGGGATTACAGGCATCTGCCACCATGTCTGGCTAATTTTTGTATGTTTAGTAGAGACAGGTTTCACCATGTTGGACCAGGCTTGTCTCCAACTCGTGACCTCAAATGATCCTCTCGCCTCGGCCTCCCAAAGTGCTGGGATTACAGGCCTGAGCCACCATGCCAGAGCTCATATGTTTAATAACTACCAAGTTTATATCTCTAGCCCAGATAGCTTTGACCAACTCCAAACTTGTATATATATATATATATATATATAATAATAAACCACCTGCTTTACACCCACCTCGGTGGGAATTTTTTTATTTTTATTTTTTGAGACAGGGTCTCACTCTGTCACCAAAGCTGGAGTGCAGTGGTCAGTGGCACAATCATGGCTCACTGCAGCCTTGACCTCCCAGGTTCAAGTGATTTTCCTCCCTAGCTTCCTGAGTAGCTGGGACCACGGGCATGTACCACCATGACCAACTAATTTTTCATTTTTTGTAGTGATGAGGTCTCACTATGTTGCCCAGGCTGATCTCAAACTCCTGGACTAAAGTGATCCACCCTCCTCAGCCTCTGAAAGTGTTGGGATTACAGGCATGAGCCACTACATCTGGCCCCCATGTGGATTCATATAAATAACTCAACATGTTGAGGACTAAGCCTGCTCCACCACAGTCTTTCCTACTTCAGTTGATGGCAGTTTCATCCCTCTATTATATTTGTTCTGGCCAAAAATCCTGGAGTTATCCTTGTCATTTCTCTCTCATATGCCACATTCAATCCATGAAGATATCCTGTTGGCTCTACCAATATATCCAGAACCTTATATACTTCTCCCACCTGGTCCAAAAGGCTACCATCTCTAGCTTGGATTACTGAAATAGCCTCATAACAGATCATACTGCTTTTATTCTGTCCTTCTACAATCTATTCTCAACACAGCAACCATGGTAACTCTTAATAGAAGTGACCTCCACTAGGTCAATTGAATGAATGAGAAATGTTAATTATAATGCCTACAGTAGCAAGTTATTGTAGGCCAGGAGCAATCGCTCATGCCTATAATCCCAGAACTTTGGGAGGCCGAGGTGGGTGGATCATCTGAGGTCAGGAGCTCAAGACCACCCTGGCTAACATGGTGAAAGCCCATCTCTACTAAAACTACAAAAATCAGTCGGGTGTGGTGGCACACACCTGTGGTCCTAGCTACTCAGGAGTCTGAGGCAGGAGAATTGCTTGAACCCGGAAGGCAGAGGTTGCAGTGAGCTGAGATTGCATCACTACACTCCAGTCTGGGTGACAGAGTGACACTCTGTCTCAAAAAAAAAAAAGAAAAAAGTTATTTTAGGGATTAAATAACTGCGAAAATCCTGACACAGAATGGATACTGAACAAATGTTAGATCCTTACTACCCTTCTTCCTTCTCCCTTCACCAAATATCCTCCCACTTGCCTGCTCTTACACCACTGCTCTCTCCTTCCTCTCTGAAATTTTTACCATTCTAGTCTCTCCTTTGAGTTTAAATCTAGGGAAATCCTACAAGGGCCACAGATGTCCTCTGAAAAGAAAGCCCAGGAAATATTTTCTTTCTTTTTCTGTTTTTGAGACAGGATCTCTCTCTGTTGTTCAGGCTGGAGTGCAGTGGCAAAAACATGGCTCACTGCAGCTTCAAACTCCTGGACTCAAGTGATCTTCCTGCCTCAGCCTCCTGAGTAGCTGGGACTTCAGGCATGCACTGCCATGCCCAGCTAAGAGGCCAGCTATATACATTACCACAACTGTTTATCAAATTAGGATATTGTCATAGAGAAACAGAGATAGCACAGATTTTAAAGATCAAATTTTAAAATTTATTGGCTGGGTTCAGTGGTTCACGCCTGTGATCTCAGCACTTTGGGAGGCGGAGGAGGGCGGATCACAAGGTTAGGAGTTCGAGACCAGCCTGGTCAACATGATGAAACACTGTCTCTACTAAAAATACCAGAATTAGCTGGGTGTGATGGTGGGTGCCGGTATCCCAGCTACTCAGGAGGCTGAGGCAGGAGAATTGCTTGAACCCAGGAGGCGGAGGTTGTAGTGAGCCTAGATCACGCCACTGCATTCCAGCCTGGGTGACAGAGCGAGACTCTGCCTCAAAACAAAACAAACAAACAAACAAAAACCCACTTTATTGAAGTGTAATTTACATGCAAATTTTATGTGTATTCTTTGATGAGTTTTGACAAATGTTTGGGTAATTTTATTTGTGTTGGGCAGTAATGTCTCCTGGGATTATGCAGGTCCAGGCATTTAACAGAGGGATCCTGGTTGGGAAACAGGACATCAGGGCTCTGGGAAAAATAATCAAACAGGAACAAGTGGAGACACCAAGGGCTGGCCCGAGGTTAGTCCTGGGATCTCACTGCACCAGGATCTGGCCCTCTGGAATGCCTGGCGACTTCATGGAAGCTTCCGGCCCTCCTCAGGGAGCGGTCTCACCACTCTGACATGTGTTTAGGCCACGAGGTGAGAGCTAGGACTGGGTTCTGGCTCTCTGCCCTGCAACTTTCCTGCCTCTACCTGAGCTCGTATCCCTGCCCAACAATGGGGGGCGCTTCAGTCGGTGATAGCCAACTTCCACCGGAGCCACCACAACCGCACGGCCCGATTGTCTCTCCAGCCTGTTAGAAACTGGTTTCAGATCCGCGGTAGAACCGCGGGGGGAAAAAGTCAAAGCGCTGTCTAGGGTTCCCCTTCTCCGCCATCCTCTGGTCTCCCAGGCTCGGGGCTGAATAGGCGCGGACAGCTGAGCCCGCCTACCAACCAGGCCCTTTCTCTCGCCCCTCTGCAGCTGAAACCCTCAAGGGGTTGCAGGTTCAGCTTTGACTTAGAGACTACAACTCCAAATTCAGGGTCGCTGGGGAAACTGAGGCAGGACTGGGGACTCTGGGTGAGAGGTCAGGCGCCGGTCGCGGACTCCTTCTTCCGAGACGGGAGACTGCTCTTCCGATAGCCCAAAGCGATTAATGCAGATCCTAGAAGAAAGCGCCGACGTCCGGGCGGTAGGTCCTGGCGGCTGGCCGGGGAAAGCGGCTGGGAAACCTCAGGGTGGCGTCGGCTGGAGGTGGGGCCGCCCACGCGGCTGAGAAACCTCAGGGTGGCGCTGGCTGGAGGTGGGGCCGGGGGCGGGTTCCTGGAGGAGGGCGGGGCAAACGTGGGCTACCGGGTGTGCCAGCCAAGCCCGGCACAGAAGAGGTGGTGGTGGTGGCCCTCGCCTGTGGCCCCGGTGCTGCTTGCGCTCGAACTCGCCGCCATGGAGGAGTTCCAGGAGCCTCTGAGTGGGCAGCTCCGGCTCTGCTTCTCGCCTGCTGCCCGGACCAGCCTCTTACTGCTCAGGCTCAACGACGCTGCGCTGCGGGCGCTGCAAGAGTGTCAGCGGCAACAGGTACGGCCGATCCCCTTCTCTAGTCCCTGCCTCTGGGGACTTTGGGCCTCAGCCGGCGACCCTGGAGAAGCTGCAGGGGAGAGGGAGCGGCGTCCGCAAACTCTGGACTCCCCAGCTCTCCAAGTGAAGCCCCCTAGGCAGGTGACCCCGGGCTCCGGACCCCGGATCCTGGGGACACCGCTTCACCTGACTTCAATAGTCACATCTTCGTTCTCCCCGCAGGTACGACCGCTGATTGCTTTCCAAGGCCACCGAGGGGTAAGTGCTGGCCCACGGTGTGTGAGCGAGGTGGGGGAGAGGGAGCACAAACGTGGGCTGGAGGTGAAAGGTGTGGTCGGGGCCGGAGGCTGCGAGTGGTAGTCTGAGGTAGTTCCGAGAACTGAACCCCAAGTGGGGCGAGGAGGCTGCTGGAGTTGTCCCAGGGGGCTGTGGTTGAGGTGACTGTGCTGTTTCAGCCTCCTGGGGATCTCAGGCCCAGCTGCATTTGGTGTGCTAACGAGCCCCTTGGGACCCGTCTTAGTCTTAGGCCGGCTCTGGGAAGAGAAGCGGAGGCAGAAGTGGGAGGGGCTGACTTCATGGGGCTTACCCTCTCCTTCCACCTCCAGTATCTGAGGCTCCCAGGCCCTGGCTGGTCCTGCCTCTTCTCCTTCATAGTGTCCCAGTGTGGCCAGGAGGGCGCTGGTGGTAGCTTGGACCTTGTGTGCCAACGCTTGGTCAGGTAAGGGGGAACAACAGGTAGCAGGCAAGAAGAGGTTTGTGGAAAGTGGGAGAGGGAAATGTGGAGAGGTGCTTAAAAGCTCACCACCCTCTTGTTTTTTTTTTCCCACCATCTCTCTCCAGGTCTGGGCCTAACCACCTTCACTGCCTGGGCTCACTCAGGGAGCGCCTCACTATTTGGGCAGCCATGGATTCCATCCCAGCCCCATCATCAGTTCAGGGACACAACCTGACTGAAGATGCCAGACATCCTGAGAGCTGGCAGAACACAGACTATTCTGAAGGAGATGCAACATCACAGCCACAGATGGCACTAGAGGAGGTAAGGCCAGAAACTGCAGGGAGTTGTGATAAGGTGAGGCAAAGCCTGAAGTCCAAGGTATCCCAGTACTCCAGGGAACCAAGTGCTCCGTCACTTTCCCCACCAGGTGTCTATGTCAGATCCACTGGCAAGCAACCAAGGACAGTCACTCCCAGGATCCTCAAGGGAGCACATGGCACAGTGGGAAGTGAGGTACTTGGGATGGGGTGGGACTAACATGGGAAGCTTTGGCATTGTCTTCCTTTCTAATCTCCACTCTTAAATGTTGTCTAATAAAAGATCCAGTTCCACCTCCCACCCTGGTTTTCTTCTGTCCCATTCCCTTTAAATATCCTAGAAACCAGACCCAGCTTCCAAACAGAGAACTTGATCAGGCACTGCCTTCCTCTTCTGGCCGGAAACGTTTGGAGAAGGTAAGTTATAATGGCAAGGGCTTTTCTTTTCTGAGACGGAGTCTTGTTCCGTCACCAGGCTGGAGTGCAGTGGTGTGATCTTGGCTCACTGCCACCTCTGCCTCCCTGGTTCAAGCAATTCTCCTGCCTCAGCCTCCAGAGTAGCTGGGACTACAGGTGCATGCCAGTACGCCCAGCTAATTTGTTTATTTTTTAGTAGAGACAGGGTTTCACCATGTTGGCCAGGATAGTCTCAATTTCTTGACCTTAGGATCCGCCCACCTTGGCCTCCCAAAGTGCTGGGATTACAGGAGTGAGCCACCGTAACTGGCTCTGGCTTTTCTTTTTTTCTAACACTGATATAATAAAACAATGGCAAGGACTATTTTGAAGAGCAGTTTTAGTCAAGCTAAAATTTAGAAAGTGGAAGCTCCTTATATGGGAGGAATTTTTTTTTTCTACACAGAATCTCACTCTGTTGCCAGGTTAGAGTGCAGTGGCGCAATCTTGGCTCACTGCAACCTCTGCCTCCTGGGTTCAAATGATTCTCATGCCTCAGCCTCCCGAGTAGTTGGGATTACAGGCACGTGCCACCATGCCCAGCTAATTTCTGTATTTTTTTGTTTTTTGAAATAGAGTTTCGCTCTTGTCGCCCAGGCTGGAATGCAATGGTGTGATCTTGGGTCACCGCAACCTCTGCCTCCCGGGTTCAAGCAATTCTCCTGCCTCAGCCTTCTGAGTAGCTGGGATTATGGGCATGTGCCACCACGCCTGGCTAATTTTTTGTATTTTTAGTAGAAATGGGGTTTCACCATGTTGGCCAAGATGGTCTTGATCTCCTGACCTCATGATCCGCCTGCCTCAGCCTCCCAAAGTGCTGGGATTATAGGTGTGAGCCACCGCACCTGGCCTAATTTCTGTATTTTCAGTAGAAACGGGGTTTCACCATGTTGGTCAGATAGTCTTGATTTCTTTACCTTGTGATCCACCTGCCTTAGCCTCCTAAAGTGCTAGGATTACAGGTTTGAGCCACTGCACTGGCTATGGGAGGAATTTTTTTAGAGACAAGGTCTCTCTGTTCCCTGGGCTGGAGACTCCTGGGCTCAAGCCATCCTATGTATTTTTTTTTTTTTTTTTTCCTTAGTCTCACTCTGTCACCCAGGCTGGAGTGTTGTGGTGTGATCATGACTCACCATAACCTTGAACTCCTGGGCTCAAGTAATTCTCCCTCTTCAGCTGTTGTGTGCCACTACACAAGGCTAATTGTTTTATTTTTTTGTAGAGACAGGGTCTCACTATATTACCTAGTCTTGAAATTTTAGGCTCAAGTGAGCCCCAACTCAGCCTCTGAAAGGGTTACAGGTCTTAGCCACTGCGCCCAGCCTAGGAGGAATTTTGGAGAGGCCATATTTGGAAGCTCTTGGCTGTTTATGTCACACAGATATTTTCCTCAACAGAAACGTTCAGTGCCTGTAGCCACTGTAGAACTAGAAGAAAAGAGGTTCAGAACTCTGCCTCTAGTGCCAAATCCCCTACAAGGCCAGAGCCATCAGGATTTACAAGAGGGAGAAGACTGGGAGCAAGAAGATAAAGATAAGGACATGGACCCCAGATTAGCACACAGTTCCTCAGTTCAAGAAGGTGGGTTAATGAGAGGAGGGTAAAAATGCCAGTGGAAAAAGACTTATAATCACTTGTGTTTTCTTGCTTCCTTCCTAGACTCTGAATCCCCAAGTCCTGAAGATGTACCAGACTACCTTCTGTGAGTTCCCTGCTTTTTCTAATTTCATCAAGCCTTGTGCATATATTAAGATACACTTCCTGGAAGCTGGGAGTTTTTCGGGGGCAATGAAATTGAAGGTGACACCTCTCTTCTCCTGGCAGGCAATACAGGGCCATCCACAGTGCAGAACAGCAACATGCCTATGAGCAGGAATTTGAGACAGATTATGCTGAATACCGCATCCTGCATGCCCGTGTTGGTGCTGCAAGCCAAAGGTTCATAGAGCTGGGAGCAGAGATTAAGAGAGTTCAGCAAGGAACTCCGGAACACAAGGTAAGGACAGGACCCAGCCTGGCTTTTCAGCTCTACTGGCCATTAACCCGCTGTTAACCACCCATATGCCTGGGTTTGTACAGTGATTAAGCAAAGTGACAAGAAAACCTGTGTGAGGGGAAAAATTAGTCTGTTATCATTTGTTAGAATGAGAAGGGAAGTTACTTCCCCCTAACTTTTTTTTTGAGACAGTCTAGCTCGGTCACTGAGGCTTGTGTGCAGTGGCACGAGCTTGGCTTACTGCAACCTCCATCTCCTAGGCTAAAGCTATTCTTATGCCTCCGCTTTCCAAATAGCTGAGATTATAGGTATGTGCCACCATGCTCAGCTAGTTTTTATATTTTGAGTAGATACAAGGTTTTACCATGTTGGCCAGGGTGGTCTTGAACTCCTGACCTCAAGTGATCCACCCACCTCAGCCTCCCAAAGTGCTGGGATTATAGGTATGACCCACTGTGCCTGGCTCCTTTCTTATTTCTTAATGTTAAATTCAGTGCTAGTATTTTCTGTTTCAGGTGCTGGAAGACAAGATAGTCCAGGAATATAAAAAGTTCAGGAAGGTAAGACAAGATCTGGGAATGGAAGCAAGAAGGTAGAAATGAGGATTTTTACTTTTTGACATGGATGCTTTTTCTCCACAGCGGTACCCAGGTTATAGAGAAGAAAAGCGTCGTTGTGAGTACCTTCACCAGAAATTGTCCCACATTAAAGGTCTCATCCTGGAGTTTGAGGAAAAGAACAGGGGCAGTTGAAGTTATCAAAAGGGCTCTTGACCCTCTGCTTAGTGAAACATGAAGGAACAAAGCAGCTATATACTAAATGGAATGCAGCTATCTGTTTTTCTTATGCTCACCACTGGAGTCCAGGTGGCAAGTAGAGAGTTGCTCTAGGTTCTTGAAGTTTGGTTTTCACTGTTGCTAATTTTTAGGGTGTGGGCACTGTGCAGACTCCATAGCTGTTGTGCCCAGGAGTCTAGAAAAAGTGACAGTGGCTTGGCTTCTTCACTTTTAGTTCAGCCAAGTCATTTTCAAGTCCTGAGAAATGACATCATCTTCAGGATAAGATAATGAGGACATTAGACAAATTAAGTTAATTTAGCCCGGTAGCCTCCCTAAGCAAACAATAATAATAATTTTTGCTAAGAGTTAAAATAACTTGTAGCATACCTGGATACAATGGGAAGGGCCCTGGTTCTTACCCATGTACTGAATTTTTTTACCAACATGGCTAAAAAATTAAAACTGATTGCTTCTGTGTTCTTTGTACAAGTTTATATATTTTCCTTAAATCTTCCAAGGCAGTTGGTTCTTAACCCTGGCTTTACATCTGAGCCAATTTTGGGCTATCTAAGTAATTAGATCCCCATGCCCCAGCCCAGATGTTATGAGTTAGAATCTCGAAGATTATAGTTTAGACATCTTTTACTTTTTCCAAGCTCTGTGTGTGACCAAGATATGTATTTTGTTATAAGGCTCTACCAAATTCATCTTAAAACTGACAGCTAAATATTCTAATTATATAGTAGGAAGAAAGTTCTTTTCTGAACATAGGTGTTTGTAGGATCACCTGAAGTAAGGTTCCTATCTGGAATTACCCAGTGGCTGAAACCATAACTGGGCAGGATTGAGTTTACTTACAAAAGGAGAGGAATGGTTTATTGGACAAAAGAACACTCTCCAATCCTATCCTTTCTGTTCCGTATTATTACAAACGAAAGTGGATGCTTCACTCTTAACTAGGAATGATACTGCCCTTCCCAGTTCTACTGGAGAGGGAAATTAAAGGGCCACACCCTAGGCTTTGAGGGGTAGAGCTGCACCCAGCAGTGTCAGCAATTCCTGAAACAATTTGGATGGAATCCCATGATGCCACACCCATAACAGGATATTTCTGGGCAGAGAACAGTCCTTGGGAGGCATAAACATGCAGTAAGTTCAGCTGCATGGCAAGGATAAACAGGAACCCATCCTTAGGGCATGGACAGCCTAACAAGAAAGGCCCTTCACCTGTTCTAATCACCAAGGTACGCCTGGGCAGTAACATGTAAGGGGAGAAAGAGATGATACATTTGGAAAGAATTTTGAGTTGATTAATTATGGACCCAGTCAAGTCAGTCTACAGCTGCAGTGACCAGTACAGTAGCAACTGTATGGCTATTTAAATTAATGGAAACTAAAAATGGGCTGGGTGGTGGCTTATGCCTGTAATCCCAGCACTTCGGTAGGCTGAGGCAGGTGGATCACGAGATCAACAATTCGAGACCAGCCTGACCAACATGGTGAAACCCCATCTCTAAAAAAATACATAAAAAATGAAACTAAAATGTAGTTTCTAGCCATATTTCAGATGCTCCATAGCTACCATTGAACACTGTAGATAACAGAACATTTCCATCACTGAAGAAAGCTTATTGGACAGTGATAGTGTATAGAGAACCTCTGGTTCTCAATCTTGTGGAAAATAAGACAGTTTAAAGGGGTCTTATTTATTGTCACTGTTCCAAATGTACAAAAAAAATTAGAAAATACCCCCCAACTCAATTCCCCCCACCCCCACAACATTCCCCTCAACACAAATAATTTTTCCCAAAACCACAAACATAAACTGGTCCTGGTGTTTCCATAAACAGTGCAGCTAAGAAACAGTTTAGAGAAAATTTAACAGGATTCAGATTATATCCATTCTGTCCTCTCAGCCCTGAGAGGTAATAATTCCCATATGGGTCCCAGTCCTCCCCAATGGTTTTCCTATCTCTGGTGGAAGAGTCCTTTTACAAAGTGGTGTTTGGCTACTGCTTTAGAGATCCTCCTGTGCCTTCTTCTTCTTCTTGGGCTTTTCTTCTTGAATTACAGGGGGGTTTGTAGCCTCTCGTTGTAAATAGCTAATAAAATCACTTAATTCACGGCCACCCTGAAAACAGAAAGATTACCTTAAAAATGTAACTTTTAAAAAAACCCCAATCTGCCCCACCCAAACAGGAAGACTTCTGAGTTTGTAAAAGCACATTAGTACCCACCTGTACTCACCATGAGAGTTTAAAGAGTTTTCAGTTAAATAAACCCAATTAAAGAACTGACTATGCTTAAGAGTGTGTGTTTATGTCACATGTGTGTTTGTGGGGATATGGGGCAATTCACTTACTTCGTATTTCTTTGGATTTAGCTTCTTGTTGGCTGGAGAGAAGTATATGGTAGGAAAACTGGGGAAAGAAACATTTATTAATTTCAAGGAGTCACGTGGGCCCATGCTGCAGAACTCTTAAGCCAAGAAGGAATCAGTGGTTCTGCCTTCAACTGGAATATGAAGACCTCCCCCAAAATCATGTCTTGTAAAGAAATAGTTTCCTCGTGGTTAAAAGCTTTATTCCTATCAATTGCCTGGATATATTTGTTAATTTTTAATCTACTTACCCTCTGACTTCATATGGAGAAGGCACATCATTGGCTGTGGCATCCATCTTGGCTATGACGATATTTGGGTCTTTGCTGAGCTGTTAATAAAATAGGTTAAATGTTTAAATTCCAAGTTTTCAGTGACTGAGGGACACTTAGTCAATTCAAGACTTCATCTCATTCTTCAAACACCCAGATAAACTGCTGTTCAGGTGGGAAGAGTGATTTGCAGATAGCAGTACCTCACTTTGCACAAACTTCCCTTTTTTCTCTTGTATTAAGACTCTACAGGCTGGGTGCAGTGGCTCATGCCTATAATCCCAGCACTTTGGGAGGCCGAGGCAGGTGGATAACGAGGTCAAGAGATCGAGACCATCCTGGTCAACAAGGTGAAACGCCGTCTCTACTAAAAATACAAAAATTAGCTGGGCATGGTGGTGCGTGCCTGTAGTCCCAGCTACTCAGGAGGCTGAGGCAGGAGAATTGCTTGAACCCAGAAGACGGAGGTTGCGGTGAGCCGAGATCACGCCATTGCACTCCAGTCTGGGTAACAACAGTGAAACTCCATCTCAAAAAAAAAAAAAAAAAAAACGACTCTACATATTGCCACCTTCAAATTTACCTTGTCTGAATCAGACATTACAAAGGCTAAGCCAAATGTTTTAAGATGAAGGACCATATGGATTCACGTAAGCCATTACCAAAATTCAGAAGTTCTTAGATATTTTTAACCATAATCTACATTGAGCCTGAGGAATGGAATGTTAAAAGTGCGTATCTCAGGCGCTGCACAGGCTGGAGCACTAGGGGGCAGTCAAAGAAAGTGAGTAAACTGTAATTGGGGAGAATAAATCTATCAGTACTTAGGAACTAAGCAAATTAGCCAATGCTGAATACATACATAAATGTATGGCTCCCGCTCAAATGTTATCCTCAGAATAGGGTTCACACTTACCTTCTCTCCAAGTTCTTTATACTTGGGCTCCAGATTCTTACAGTGACCACACCAAGGGGCATAAAATTCAATAAGTACATCTTTATCTTCATTATTCACTATTTCATCAAAATTCTCTGCTACCACTACCTGGAAAACACAGAAGAATCTCTAGTTGGTAAGGTAACATTAAAATAATAAATTCACAAGCTGTATTTGTTCCTAGACCCAAACCCTCTCTAATTTGATGTGTTATCATAGAAAGTAAGTCATGGAAACCCAAATCACATTTACAGTTTAAAGATGTTGCCATCCACTAGATACCAATTTGCTCCTATGTCTGTCACCTATCAAACTATGTTCAGGAAGTTACAGGACACAAAAGTGCTACCCAACCGTTCCTTAAAATAATTTCAAGCCAGGCTTAGTAGCACATGCCTGCAGTCCAAGCTACTCAGAAGGCTGAGTCTACATAGTAAGACCGCATCTCTATAAAAAACGTTCAGAGCAATACACTGTTCTTAGAGGTTGCTCTGTCCTCATAAGTTAGCCAATATAAATTTCATCAGAAAATTCTATGCAGGCTTTATACCCTTGCCCTTACCAAGCATTTTGAGTCCTGCCGATGCTTATTTTATGACTCGGAGTAAGGAAAAAAAAAAAGGAGAAAGAGAGAGAGAGAAAATGAGAGGCAACTGCTCATAGCTTGATAAGGATGTGAGCACCTCACCTTTACAGGACCATCATTGCTGTCTGGGATAGGTTCAGACTTTAGGTATCTCTTCAGATTGCCATCAAAGTAATCCTGCAGGAACCTCTCCAGAGCCTTGCCATCACGCCTACAATTGGAAAACAAAGGTCAGGCTGGTTAATTTACTCCTACCACTGAGAAGATTAAAAACAATTTCTTTGAACAGTTACTATGTATTTTAGTTTTAATTTCAAGGCAAAAAAAAGGAGAATTCTTATCTCTCAATATGCAAAACTGACTGAACAAACTGTAACTTTTGTTTCTAGTGTGTTCTTTGTGGATTAGAAAGTTCAGAGAAAGAAGAATCATTGGTCTTTTGGAGATTGATTTTTTTAAAAGAACCAGATCCTATTGCTCTGGAGCATAGTGTGTGTTTACGGTATTTTCTTTTATAGACTGGCTCACAAGGAAGATTTTCTCTTGTCTCAATCTCCCAAAATCTCAGAAAGTGAGGATAAAAATTGTTTTTGGAGTCTTAAGGTCTTCCTGATTCTGAACTTACTTTAGACCCATGTAGTATTTTAAAAAGAAAAGACATTCGTGTGGATGAGGGGGAATATGGTTTGTTTTGAAATTATATCAGTAATAAGGATGTTTTCCAATTTTTTTTCAATTTTTTATAGACATGGGGTCTTGCTATGTTGCCCAGGCTGGCCTTGAACTCATGCGCTCAAATATCTTCCTGCCTTAGCCTCCAAGTGCTGGGATTACAGATGTGAGTCATCATGCCTGGCTCAAAGGAGGCTGTCCAATCTTCTTTCTCTTCCTCCCTCCCTCCCTCCCTTCCTTCTTCCTTTCTTTTTTTTTGGAGACAGAGTCTTGCTCTGTCACCCAGGCTGGAGAACAGTGGCGTGATCTCAGCTCACTGCAATCTCTGCCTTCCGGATTCAAGTGATTCTCCTGCCTCAGCCTCCCTAGTAACTGAAATTACAGGTGCACACCACCGCACCTGGCTAATTTATATATATATATTTTTTGAGACAGAGTCTTGCTCTGTCGCTAGGTGCCAGGCTAGAGTGCAGTGGCGTAATCCTGGCTCACCACAACCTCTGCCTCCCGAGTTCAAGCAATGCCTCAGCCTCTCAAGCAGCAGGAACTACAGGTGCTCACCAACACGCCCAGCTAATTTTTGTATGTTAGTAGAGATGGGGTTTCACCATGTTGGCCAGGAAGGTCT